GCCATCGAGAAGCGGGAAGAAGATTATAAGATCTTCTCATGTCCGGTTTGATGAGTACGGTTACATTTCAGATGCACTCTTACAGGAGATTGGAACTTCCATCGAGGGGATACTCGAATTTCTTCTGAATCTATATCTCAGCAGAACTCGAGGGGAACTTGTGGAGAAAATTTATATCAGAGCGACGAGTCAAGTCGACCTCAGACCAAACCCCCTCTAGAAATAATTCATGAAAACCTTGGTTCCCTACAGAAGGAAGTGACCAATAATGTTGACACCGATGAAGGAATTGTCAGCGAGCCAGAGGATACCGTTGAAATGCCTATGCCAACGAACGCAACTAACTTAGATTCAATGCTTGAAGCTAACGAGAGTTTCCAAGAGGAGAAAACGATTTGTCTAGACAAGTCCAGAAAAACTAAAGTATACGAGGCGCCTACTGAACCTCGAATGACACGATCGCGTGCGGCTAAATTTAAGTCAGAACTAGCCAATGACAATTCATCTACGGCAGCCGCGTTCATTGCAGGGAGGGATATATCCGACAACCCTGAAACCATTGAAGAAGCCTTGGTGAGTAAGAACGCTAACGAGTGGCGGCTTGCCATTCGCCAAGAATATGAGTCTCTTCTACGAAAGAAAACTTGGGCACTAGCTCAAAAGAAGGATATACCAGCTGGTCAACGACTTTTGTCAGTCAAATTGGTATTTAAAACCAAGCGTGATAAGGAAGGCAAAGTCCTCAAGTACAAGGTCAGATGCTGCGTTCGAGGATTTGAACAGAAGTATGGTGTCGACTATGAGGAAACGTTTGCTGGCGTAGCTCGCTCTGAGACATGGAAAGTAGCTGTAGCTTTAGCAGCTTTTCATGGTCTCGAGGTGGATCAAATGGATGTCATTACAGCATTTCTGAATAATGACATGGATAAAGAGGTCTATGTAATGCTACCACCTTTCTGGGAAAAAATCCCCAACAGTGATCACGTCGGGAAACTACTTTGTGGAATATATGGCCTAAAGCAAGCTCCTAGGCTTTGGCAACAATTACTGGCTAAACAACTTTCAACTTTGGGATTTAAACCACTAACAGCCGATCCAGGAACATATGTACATGAAATCACAGGGTTCATAATTGTGACCTACGTAGACAACATACTCTTGATAGGAAAACAAGTTGTTGAATTCGGCAAGATGAAGAAACGGCTACTCGGCCTATTCGAGACAGAAGATATGGGTCCAACAGCCTATTATCTTGGAGTTAGGATTGTCAGAGACTGGAGAAAGATCAGATTATACTCTGTCAAGATGCCTACTGTCAGGATTGCCTTCTGTATAATCTATATATGTGGAGATAACCGGAATCTAGTGTTCTATGATTCTGGTCTGGCCTTTTGGCCGAGTGGTTATGCACCTATCTCATGCATAATGTAGGATGGCGCCCTTTAGCTTGAACACCACCTCTTTGACCCTTGTCTCCGCCCTGCTGTCTACATGCTGCTCTGACATAATCATAGAACTACACAATGGTCTACCTCTGGCACGTGTTCATCCACTCGTGTGTATTCAGTTCTGGCTAAGCAAGCAAATCACGGATGAGCCTGCGGAGGTTGGGCACATCTATAGATTATGGGAGGGGTAATGTCAGGATTGCCTTCTGTATAATCTATATATGTGGAGATAACCAGAATCTAGTGTTCTATGATTCTGGTCTGGCCTTTTGGCCGAGTGGTTATGCACCTATCTCATGCACAATGTAGGATGGCGCCCTTTAGCCTGAACACCACCTCTTCGACCCTTGTCTCCGCCCTGCTGTCTACATGCTGCTCTGACACCTACACTAAAAAATTTCCGAAACAATTTGGAATGGAAGATTGTCACCCAGTATCCGCCCCTTTCGAGCCTGGTGCTATGATCAACATGATTCCATATGATGAGGTGGCACCGAAGAAAGACATCACTCTCTATCAGTCTATTGTAGGATCAGTTATGTATCTGGCAAGTAATACCAGACCGGATATACTATGGACCTGTGGCCTTCTATCCAGATTTAACCATAACCCATCTCCTCAGCACCTAAGGGCAGCTAAACGTGTCCTCCAATACCTCAAGGGCACTATAAACCTTGGTGTTAAATTCGGGGGAATTGATTGCTGCAAGCTTTACAGTATGGCTGACTCTGATTTTGCGGGATGCCATTCAACCCGAAAATCAACTTGGGGATAAGTATTTTTCTTTGGCGGAGGCTTTATTTCAGCCGCGTCCAAACGCTTTGAAAGTGTAGCTCAGTCCACTACCGAAGCAGAATTCTATGCCTTGGGTAAAGTAAGCATGGAGGCCTCTTGGTTACGCATGTTGCTAAATCAACTTGGCTACAAAGGAGAAGATGCCAAAAAGATCAAAATTTACGGAGATAATCAAGGGAGCCTAAAGTTAGCTGAAAATCCTGTATTCCACAACCGGACCAAGCACATTGCCACGAAATACTTTTACATTCGTGAACGATTGGAACGAGAAGAGGTTGAATTGGAGTACATTGCCACCAAAGAGATGGCTGCTGATGGATTGACGAAAGGGCTGACCTTCGACAAGCACAGGCAATTCCTGAAAATGCTCAATATGACTACTTATAGTGCGTGACCCGTTTACATTGATCTAATATGCCTATGTATGGGTATCACCTGAAGGGGGGTGTTGAAAGTCATGTAATAAATCTGTAATTGTATCACGTGTCTCGCTTAGAATTCCACACTTTCCGTAATTGTGAAGTGTGTAGATAATTAGTAAAAATAATAAACCAAACCAAACCAAGTATCAATAGTTGTAGTTATAATACACACAATAAATTATATATATATTTATATTACAAGGAATCTGATTTCGAGAGCAAGTATCCACACGCAGCTGAATATGTAGCTGGTATGCAGTATACTCTTAACTCCACTGTTGCATAAATAACAACATGTTTTATATGGTTGGAAGAGTTCAAGCCTTATTTGTTAGGCAGCAGCCTAATGATGACCAGGTATGAGCCTGTGACACCAATCCCGTGGGGGACGGAGGCTTGTTGAGAAAATTCCTCAATAATTTCAACTGACCCGATCATGTCAATATCGGGTTCAGCAACAATGGGGAGGGCTTTTTCTTCCCTTTAGTAGAGACCTTGCTCATATCCGCGCATTTTGGAGACTGGGCAAGGCCAGGTACTTGTTCGAGAGCCCTCGGATGGACTCTTGTGTTGTCCAACTTGACCTTGGGACGCTTTCTGCAAACTGGAGGCATTGTGAAAATGCCTTAGCTCGTTCACAATCTAGAGATAGATGCGACGAGGTCGAGAAGGGAGGAAAGAGGGAAAATTTGAATTTTCGAATTTTCGAATTTTCGAATTTTCGAATTTCTCGAATTTCTCGAATTGTGCCTTTTTTTTTTTTTTTTTTTTGAACTGCTGCTTAGCCTTGATTATTGACGTCTCAAGAGGAATCCGGGGACCGACTCTACTCTCTTCAAGGCCTCAGGGAAAATTCCATGGTAGTATGTCACGTAGTTATATCATGTGACATCATGTGCTACTGACAATTATCAGACACATGTACAATTTTTAAGGTGCGGCTCTTCATAATGCGATGGCTCGACTTGCTACAAAAATTACGGTATGCCTGGACAGTCAGGAAGCCGCCCTTCGTCTCCTTGCAGCTCGCTGAGGTCACGCTGACTTTGCTGACTACCACCGCTGCTTTCACCTGTTACGGTGTGACTATTGTTTAAGCTTAGGTGGATACCTAAGCATATTGTTGAGAATATTTACGACAAGGCTGCATGGGGACGGATAGATGAAGCTGAACAAGGCGGCACTACTATTTAGGAGGTCGTAGCGTTAATACAACTAAGTAACACCTGGTAATGCGTGGCTGGGTAGCAAGTATTGTGCCTAAGGATAAGTCATCAGCCTGGAGATTTACGAAGGGGACCAATTCTTATAAATACCTGTAAGTAGTAGCTAGAGTTCTCCTCATTCCTCATATAGTTTAATGAATCGATTTATTCATTGTCAACTTGGTTAGATCAATTCGTGATTCCGTTTGAATCAGACTTTTTATGGTGCCTTTTCGAAGAAATTTGTGATACGCACCCAATTATTGAGTGCATTACCTCCTTCCGCCGAAGCAAGAGCCTACGATACGGTGGGATTAGAGTTCTGTGCCCTGTGGAGCTGAGCCTATTATTACCCGAGGTGCCAATAGACAAAGTAGTTGGGGGACTTCTCTTCTCCGCACGTACAAGGTAGAATGGCGTTTTCGGGGTGAGGAGATTTTATGTTTGTAGCTAATTTCTCACGTACAAGATTTTACATGAGACGTGACGACCACCACTACACTTGCCAAGCTGATTACGTGACAACGACACGCGAATAGGTCTCCAGTCTTTGCCCTCCAAAGTTTCTTCTACACATCTGCTAAAACATGACTTCAACTATCTCCATTCGCACATCCTATCATAGGCCACAGAAATAGGATACTGCATACATAATTGCCCAGACTCCATGACCCACATCCATTTTGGATGCATGTATTGCATACTGCTACTCATATATAATTAGCAGGTTTCACTGAAACTTTAGATCTTATCAAGAAATCTTGTGAAGGCGATGCATTCCCTCAAGCTTGCCGAGTGTGCATTGTATGTCGGTGATTATCAACTTATTTGAAAGATCTTTCAACTATCATGGGTCATGGCATATGAGTTTGTTTCCTTTTTCAGATCCCCTCACACCTTCAGTTATTAAATTGTATGCAACGCTCTGTTTTCTAAATCTTCTCATATATTTTATATATTTTATATAAACTGTAGAATTCTCTACCAGTATAATCACTCCAGTGATGCTATTTCCTTAGTATCTCGACATAACTAATACATGATCCAACTTTAGTCTTCCGCTTTCATTTCTAATCAGAGTTGTTAGTCATAACAATGGATGTCAGAAAGATATGTTGGGAGATAGTTACTCATAAGATTGTACAGGGCCTATAGTCTTCTCGGCCACTAGTAAGGTCCGTGCGGGTGACTACGCCCGCTATTTGATCATGTGAGTTGAATACAACAAAATCTTTTGTGCCATTCTCTTCTAAAGATTGCAGCAGCTTATTAACATTACGAAACGTAGAAAGCAATTAAATAGGATGGATTATATCATTACCTGTGAGTGGATAACACCACTGATCTCCGTTGATGTTGTACTGAATATCATTGAAATGTGAAGGATTATAAGACTGTATACGAGAGTTCCTCATAATTTGTCTGCCCATCTCAATTATTCTTATGAGATAATTTTTATCGTAGTCGCGCCCATTTGGACACAAGAAGCTGAAGTTACTATTTGGGTTGGGTACTTGTACTAGGACTGAGGCAGCTTGACCTGACATCGCTGTAACAGGCACTAAAATACAGAAGAGTGTGGCAACGCCGCTGATCGTTATGGGCTTCATGTTCTGATGGTCCTTTAATTGTTTTTTAAGAATCTTGTGCTATGAAAAGCTGAGATTTGGAGACTGATCGATATTCAGTATGGGAATTGAAATGGAATGTTTGTGAATTTAGAATATTGATACTATTCGTTCCTTATAAGAAAAATTGCAGCATGGTAATCTCAATCAATTAAGTTTGAATCATAGCGATTTTGAGGCAATGGTTATGTTATTTGACCATGAAAGTTACGTCTTATTACATCTATCTATGGACTTGAGTCTCAAAGTCCCACTAATCATCCGCAACCGATGTGTGATGTGATGTGATTAGTGTGCTACTTGAGTCATAGACTAACTAACAAATTAGCCTCCTCCCTGGCCCAGGCCACATCTTGTACAGTGCTCCTTGCCTCTTTTTTTACTTTTAAGATCATTGATATATTGCCCGTGATGGATACCCATTCAGCTCAATGTTTACCCGTGGAGTTCAGCCACCTTTTCCGCGGAACCCTTCTAACCCAAAAAACAAAAATAGCAGTAATGGAAACTGCGTGCGTAGGAAACAGTCTTAAAAAACCTGCAGCTCAAGCCAGGCAAGGCCTAGACACCGGGACTACACGAGGTGCGCATATTCATCTATATCTATTGGAAATGGAGACACGGAGTGTTGTGGACGTATGGGCCCTCCATTTTGTCTAGGTCCCGACACGGTCTTGTGTGTATTTAAGGTTGGAATGGGTAATATTTTAGCGCTTCATGCTACCTATTGGAGACATGAGCGGCTGTATGGCGTGGGCACAAGGAGGTTATTGGGGGTTTTCTATGCCTAGATGGCGCCACACTCGTTTATGCTGTGGCTTAGGCTGCTCATCGCTTACACTTGTAGTTTTTTTTTTTTTTTTTTTGAATCATATTGTATTCAGCTACACTTGTAGATGTAGCGCACACTTCCCACACGTTTAGCTGCAATCCGTACACGACACTCTTTTAGTCAATTTCTACTTTCTATCCATGAATATTGCGCCCATTTCATTGCGCCATCTTTCCAACAAAATCTCCCTTCTTTGCAACATTCGAGGGCAACTTGATCCCATCCACCATCTCTGTATCAGATGCGGGATACACTCTAGAAACTCTTTGGATGATTTTTCCTCCATGATCAAGGGTTGGTGATGAGTAGGGCTCCGACGCTACCATTTGATCTTACGGTGGTTAGCTTCATGATAGACATGATGTGAGGGTTGTGCTTGGGAGTAGAAACGATACAGAGCGCGAAAGCGATTATAAATCCTCATGGAAGTGAGGACTTTGTTACTCAATCTCAGCTCTGCAGACTCCACAGTGAGAGCTGGAGATTAATAGGGGACACCACTGACAGGTGTTGAGATTAGTCCCCCTCCGTAAGCGACGGTCGTCCGGAGAATGGGCTTCACTGCTAATCATCGAGATGTAGGGGGAAGAGGCCTGACCCTCTATTTTGCATTTATTTGCATAAAATATTGGAAGAGATGAGACATCGATTCATAAACTGGTCGTGCTCGTGCACCTTGAACTCCTATGTTTTGGAACGATTTGCTGAAGCTATGTATGAGCGGTAATCTTTGAATGTGCTGCGAAGAACTGCTTTCAATGTGAAAGGCCACTATCTTGCTCAAAGATTGAAAGAGATTGGAATACGTAACAGAGATCTGTCTATGAGCCACATGATACAATTTGTAACGATTGAAGCTAAAAGCCTGACAAGCACGACATCAAGAGTTGTCCTATCTAACGGCCGGTAAGCCAATTGGTCCCTGCAGTGCATGCTGGCCAACATGAGTCTGGCCTAACGTAGGTAGCGCACAATTGATCGACATTAATGGGTGGATATATGATTCCACTCGACAGAATATCAGGGCCTTGGCACCTAGTTTGGCAGGGCAGCAGTATCGGACCATACGCCTACAACACATTGACGTGTTACAACAAGTAGGGCCAACACATGTGATGAATCCCACTGGGTTCGAGAGAGGGAGGGACTGTGCCTCGTAAACACACAGACAATGTATATCATGTATAGATAGAGACCGAAGTAGTTCTCTCTTCAGAATGATAATTTACATACTATCGACCTCATAGCTGCTCCAGCACCTGTTCCATGATCCGTCACATCCTACCCCTTGACCTGATTAAGAATCAGACGTCAAGGTAAAGCACGGAAAATCTATATCCTATGTCCTCTGCAGACCTGTATGATGAATATTATCCCAGATCCAGTTTTAGTCAAATCTTAAAATACCAGGCAAGCTGAATCACGAGCGAGGATTTCATCTCTCTCAGCTACGCCAACTCTTTCCCCCCGACTTGAGCTATTTTAACTGCATCCTCAGCAATCCTACAATCTAGACAGAGTACTTTTTATACTTCTTATCATCAATTCCGTAAATACACATTGTATAACAGCAAATCACGTTGATACTCAAGATTGCGATGCATTATAAAGATGGTGTCTTTTTGATCGTTTACATGTACGCATCTTTATAACCGTAACATAATATCAGTAGTTTGTGTACATATTGGATAACTCTTGTGAATGTAGAAACACTCATACAATAGATTTGGCTGATGCAAAGCGCCGCGGTCAGCCTCCTAATGGTGATCTCTGGTGTAGTTTGAGTAGCCCATGTTATAATGGAAGTTTTGAAAAGAAGCTTAAGCTTTTAGACTTGTGTTTAATGCCGCCTAGTTGTTACGGTTTGACCGTTGTTTGAGCTTCGGTAGATACCTAAGCCTAATATTGAGAATTCTTACCATGGGCCTGTATTGGGGAAGATGAAGCTGAACGAAGCGACAGTACTAGTCAGGAGGCTGAAGTGTAATTACAACTTAGTGACACCTGGAAATACGTGGCTGGGTAAGAAGTATTGTGCCTAAGGACAAGTCACTAGTCTGTAGACTCACGAGGAGGATCAACTCTAATAAATACCTGTTAGTAGTAGTTGCTAGAGTCCTCCTTTCTCCTCATGTAGCTTATTAAATCGATTTACTCATCACCAACTCGGTTTCCGTCGCACTAGTGAAGCGATTTGCGAGATTGAAGAGTCTGAAAACTACAGTTGAGAGTTTTTGACTAAAGCCACTTAGTATCAGAGTGCTATATAAAACTAATTATTATCAATAGGCGAAGGACAAACTTTACTTGTCTAAACTAGATAATTGAATGGCTAGTCAATGTACGAATAACCATGAGCCTGATCAGTAATGCTTGCACCGTTTTGCGTTGCATGTTAATAATAGTCATAATTGCCAAGAAGCAACAGTTTCAACAGCCTAGCTGCCTACTGTCAGGGTCTGAGGGACTCATTGGAAGAGATAAAAACTAAGTCCGAATATTTCTGTTTTATTCTATCCTAATCTATCCTTTTCCGTTCCGTTCCCTTCAGTTCTATTACGTTCTGATATGACCTCATCTATATTATTCTTTTCTACACTATTCCATTCTTAATGAGGTTACACCAGAAAGTTCGAGAATAATGTGAAGGGATATCAAGTAGGCATTCTGGGTGACTTATTCTCGGCAGTTTATAGTCTTCTTTTCCTAGGAACTCTTAAGAAAATATCAAATCTTACTTTAGGAAGAACTCTCGTACTCTTGATACCTACACCACTTGGGAAGCAGGCGCCTCTGACCATGTTGTTGTGGCTAGTCGAAAAGTGGATTACAATAGAAGTTAGACTAGCCATTAAGGGTGATGCAGTAAAGCTTAGAACACATAATTCAACTAAATTACGAAGAGTTTGTACGATCTATGAAAGTTATGAGGAAGAGAACTAATAAAAATTCTCTCTACGTGCTTAGAGTTTGTGTGCAGTGCCATGGTCCTTAGTCATAGGACGGAATCCTATTGCCGGCAGGAACCTGGGGCACCCTTTTCGATGAGTGATGGTGAAGCCGTCACCATATTTTGCGTGGAGAAAAGTTAATGGATGATGGAGGCATGTCTGGATAACTCAAGGTTTTTGAGACGTTCCCCTGGGTGGGTATTCACAGATGAGGGTTGACTTTGGGTGAAGAAAAAGCCACCATAACTTTGCAGTGGTGCTTGCAACGGAAATCCGAGGCATGAGAGCTCCTTCTTTATATTTAGTCATATATTATGTACTTTTCTATAATAATATGTCATTGTTAGATAGCTGCATTATTTTCATGTATCATTGTGGCATAGCGTATTATGAAACGCCATGTTGGAAATACAGTTTCCTGCTTTTCTTTCTATCAACCAATGTGGTTGCATGCATCTTGCCTGAACTATATTTCTGAGTTTAGGCAGGGGCCCACACTTCTGATCCAATCGGACTCAACGTTAGAGTCTGCTTGAACCCCATTCTTCCCGAACAAATCCAGTCATTGGTTTGCTCGTATTTCTATTGCATGACCCAGTATTTTGAGTCAGTGGATAATTATTTTCTGGTCTGGGGTCCCACTTATTTCTGCAGTCGAGTCGGTTCCGGATAACCTCTTTCTTGTAATTCCACTGTACATATCATAATACCTGTAGTCTATTAGTCAATTCAGCAAACTGAACTTCTTCTCCGTTCTCAGGCAATTCTTACTCCGAAGTCTTCTCTATACTCTAACACGCCATGCGGACGGCTAATTTAAAACACAAATAATAGTTCAATACACTTCTAAAACCAGCAAGGAAGACTGATAAGAATGGGCTAGTTTCATTAGGTGATGTGTAGCAGATAGTTGGGCATAGGGGCTGTGTGCTACGTGCTATTTGGTAATTTTATGTTGTTATGAATCTGAATCATGTGTTCATAGCCTTGGTGTTTGCGTAATGGGTCTGTTTGCCAAAAGCATATACATAACACTTTTCACTACACATTTTAGTTAGACAGTATTATACACGAGCTACATTATTTATCAACAATAATATCTTCTCTACATATCTCTGTCACACACTGTACACTTTCACAACAGGTTAGAGCCCAGTAGTAGCGTACAGCAATCCGTGGATTATCAACATCCATTATCT